CTACTCAGGAGGTTGAGGCAGGAGAATTGCCTGAACCCAGGAGGCGGAGGTTGCGGTGAGCCGAGATCGCGCCATTGCACTCCAGCCTGGGTAACAAGAGTGAAACTCCGTCTCAAAAAAAAAAAGAACCTGTAAACGGCAGGGCATAGTGGCTCACTCCTAGCACTTTGGGAGGCTGAGGTAGTCAGACCACCTGAGGTCAGGAGTTTGAGACCAGCCTGGCCAACATGGTGAAACCCTGTCTCTACTAAAAATACAGACATTAGCTGGGCTTGGTGGAAGGAGCCTGTAGTCCCAGCTACTCGGGAGGCTAAGGCAGGAGAATTGCTTGAACCTAGGAGGTGGAGGTTACAGTGAGCTGAGATCACGCCACTGCACTCCAGCGTGGACAACAAAGTGAGATTCCATCTTGGGGAAAAAAAAACTGTTTTAGAAATGATTTCTTTCAAATCACAATATGAGCATTTTTCCTCCTTTTTATGAAAGCACAAAATCTCGTCATTAATAAGCCCACATTCATAATGGTAAGAATATAATGGCTATCAATACTATAGATACATGCCAGTGCCAATTCTAGACACATTATACATATTAACTTGTGTGTGTAATTTTTAGTCAGTGCTATCAGTCACTGTTAAACTCTACCTGCTTTACTTCATTGAGTCACAAGCACTGTTCCTTTATTATCCTGTTTCATAGGCGACTGACCCATTTGCACAGCTAGTAGTGGTGGCGCCAGCAGTTTTCACTGCATTCTCTAATAGCGGACATATTAGCAGTAGCCACAGTTTGGGCAAAATTGCTGTTGTACTCCTCCTAGGGCTCCTAGCAGTTTGCTGTTTTGATACCGAGGTTCGTGAGGTGCCCAAGACCTGGGGGCTATCTGAGGATGCCTGCGCTCCGATTTTGTCTTCCTGAGTATTCTGACTAAAATTTCTTTTTGTCAAAGCCTACTTAGTTGTGATTTCATGAGTTTTCCAGGAGCACAGCCCAGGCCAGCCTTGATGTGAGGATAAGTTCTTTCCCAATTTGGAATTGTAGCTGCTTCCAGGATCTGTTAGTAAAAACAGAACTGCCCCTCTCCGCCAAGAGAAGTGTTGTCAGATGAGATAATACGAAACGTGAAGGATAAAGTGAGATGGTCCAACATTTCTCTAACCAGGGTTCCAGAAGAAAATAATAGAATGGGAGTCAGGGAATATTCAAAGATACAACGTCTAAGAATTTTCTAGAACTAATGGAAAAATTGTAAAATTGTAAACAAAATACATGTATATGAGTTTAAGGATAGCAATAGCTGATGAACAGTACAAATTGTTATTTAAATAAACTAACTAGAGATCTAGATTCAGCTTTTTAAAAGAAAAAATCTAAGATATGAGGTAGTCCATAGAGTAAATGAATGTACAGGGCCAAAGGAACCATGAATTGCCTTATGGGAAAGGAAGGGAGAAGCTAAGGAAATAATTCCCGCCAAAAGGATTGGGTTTTGAAGAAGGATCGCCCAGTAGACAAGGGTCAGGGAGAAAGAAGGCTACCTGAAGAGGGACTAGGACGTGAAAAACCCATGTTGCCAAAGAAACCCTGAGATGTTTACATTCTGAAGAATGACATTTTGCCTTTGCATGAAATGAAAAAGGTATGCATAAAAATGTATATAAGAAGTTCTATAAATGATGAAATCTGTTTTTCATAGGGATAATGCCCTGGTAATTTCAATGATGTATTTAAAAAAAGCCTTTGGGGGTGGGGTGAGGGTCCCAGAAACACAAAATTTAGAAGTTCCATCTAATTATTTGGTCTCATTTAATGATAAAATATTTTCTTCATATGACAGGCTTACATTTTTTTTCTAGAATGTCTTTTTTATCTTACTTTGTTAATAACATGATCTGATATCTGTAACTAGTAAACGAAACTTCCCTTTTCAGTATAACATTGTTCTCTCTTTATCATCTTACAATTGAATACAAACCGAAAAAGTGTTGAAAAATTAATCTCTTCTTTCAGCATCTTCTCATTTACCAGTCACATGATTCACCTTTGTCATTTGTCTAAACACTGGGGTCATGATTTGTGCTTTTAGCATAAGTATCCATTGCAAACTCAGTCTCCTTCCTACGTTCTGGGCCCTAGTTTATCTTTCTGAAAGACTGCTAATGTAAAATGTTTAAGTAAATAGGGAATAGTCCTGTAATAGGGCCTGATACTTGCATTACTATTACTCTGTAGAATATTGTATTTTGATTGTGTTCTCTAGCCAAATTTGTCACATGAGATTCTTCCCAGTTCTTTGCTTTTACTGGCTCTTACAAACACAAAGTTTGACATGTATTTAATATCTTGAAGAATAAAGATACCTTATGATTTTACAGCCTGTCAGTACTATTTTGGGGTATAACAGGTGGGTAACCAAAGGGGAAAAGGTATGTGTGTGCTTGGGGTAGGGGAGGATCCGTTTATGCAATTGAACATGTTAAAACATTGGTGAAGTTGTTCTTTCTGTGCACACTTAAGACAGCAATTAGGATTAGATCTTCATGACCTTGTATTTCTAAGACCATCCAAATACTGGGGATAGGTCTGTCACTATTTCATTTTGCAAAAGTTGGCGACTTAGTTACTGTAATTCATAATAAGAAGGTGACCTGGAAATACAGAACATGTTAAATATACAATTTATATATTTTTATCTTGCTCCCATGATTCCACAGCTTAGTTTTTTAGTGACTGGGTATATTCATGTGTGTGTATAGTGAGTGCATGTGTGTGCAGTTGAGGGAAGTGGGGAAAGTAGTGCTTCTGTAGTTTGAACAGGACTTAACACAAAAAAACCACAGAGACTTTCCCTTAAATTTGGGAAAAGACAAAGATACCTCCATTGTTGTCACTGCTTACTACAGTACTCAAGGACCTTTTCTTTAAAAAAAAAAAAAAGTAATAGGATTGGGAAGGAAGAAATAAAAACTACTGCAGATGATACGATCATTAACTTAGAAGAACCAACAAAATCAATAGACTGAACACTAAAATGAATACATGTAAATCAAGGTCGTCAGTGACAAGATAAACCTACAAAACCAGCACTTCTCAAACCAGTATAAATCAACTAGAAAATACAAATTCACAACAGCAACAATATCCACAAAGACTACTGTGAAGAATACATCAGAACGCTATAGAAGATCTGAATAAATGAAGAGACATATATTGTGCCCTTTAACAGAATGATGTTTTAAAGATGTCTAATTTCTCTTGGTTTTTGAGAAACACAATAAATTTAGCCTAGAGTTTATATGGAGACGTAAAAGTCCATAAATAGCTAAGTTATCTTTAAAGAAGATTGAGGGGCCTGCTTTACCAAATATTGAAGTGTAGTATGAGGCTGGTGCTACTAAAAAAAACAAAAAAACAAAAAACTGGGCACTGGTATAAGAACAGTTAAATATACTAATGGATGAGACAGAGATTTTAGAGGTAAACTTAATGTACATTCTCTAGGGGAAAGATGGATTGTTTGGTAAATAATGTTAGGGAAAATGGCTATTTGGAAAAAAAATAAAACAACATCCTTACCTAACTACATACAAGGGTTGATTCTAGGTGGATTAAAGACATAAATATAAGGAAGGTAGAACTAGAAAGTTAATAGAAGAAAAATAGGAAAATATGACCAAGGGGTGGGGGAAGACCTTAGGACAAAACTTCAAAAGCATAAGCCATAAGGCAAAAAAAAAAAAAAAAAATGAATTTGATCACCTCAAAATAAGTGTCTCTCTTTAGTGTAAGACATCCCAGACATGGGTCCTATATGAGAGGATGAGAGATGGTTGCCATATCTGTGACCAATAAGAATAGCCGGGCGCGGTGGCTCACGCCTGTAATCCCAG